TATATATATATATATATATATATATATATATGTGTGTGTGTGTGTGTGTGTGTGTGTGTGTGTGTGTATGTGTGTATATGTGTGCATGTATGTATGTATGTATGTATGTATGTATACACACAGACATACACACACACACACTCACAAGATACGTACATTTATGTTTTATTAGAGTACAATACTAGGAACCTACGCTTTCAGATGAAGGTGGGAGCCTAATGCAGGAGAGCATTTTGCAGGAATTGAAACTTGCCACTGGCCAAAGAGTTGATTCAATAGAATAGCAAATATCTGGAACAACCTACCTGAATAGCCTCTTTTTGGAAACCTGCTAAGATAATACCTTTGTTTAGTGGCATAATTTAAACTGTCATTGAATTTCATGGGATAAGTGCTCTTAGATGCTGGAAGCCATGCTCAGTACATGAATCACAAGGTGCCTAACCCTTTGTTTAGCCTGCCGCTATAATTTATTATTTAACTACTAGATTTATATCCTATGTTTGTTTTTTGCAAGGCAGTGTACATAAGGGTTCCACTTTAATGCTATGAACTAGGTTAGCCCCAAAGTCACCAGCTGGCTTCTATACTCTGGGATGATTAGAACTCAACATTTTCCAAGTTTCTAACCCTAGCACCATCACCATTACATCAAACATCAGCATATATCATACCTTCCAATTATATTATTCAGTGGTGGGTTCCTAACTGGTTTACTATTGGTTTGCTGAGGGAGGTTAGCTGATAATTTGCGTGTGTGCTACTTGCTTTGCGCCTGTCCGCTGAGCATTGCTGTGCATGCAGTTTAGTTAAAACTATTCTGTGCATGTGCAGAAACATGCCGGCGACGGTAGAAGAGACCGGGAAACCGGTTCGGGGGTGTGGCAGGCCTGCGTTGCTGCCAGTTCCAGTGACCCAGGTCACCAAACCACTACTGGTTTGGCCGAACCGGGCCAAATCGGTAGGAACCCACCTCTGATATTATTCCATCAACTTCACAGCACCCTTGTAAATGAAAGAGATGCAGCCCTCAAACCTGAAATACTTAATCATTCCTACTTTAAGAGAAGCATTCATGACTTATTTTTTATTAATAAACCACAAATGTAGTTTATCAGTTATGCATGATTACTTTCTATTTCATATTTTTTTTAAACAAATATATACAAACGTATAATCACTGAGAAAGTAGGGTGGTCTCTTTGACTATGAGCAATTTGAGAAGAAATGATGCTGTCTCATCATAAGAGATGCCATAAATGGTTAGTGGCTGATGTTTAAAGCCCTTACCTGGGTAGTAGAGACGGAGGAAGAGGAGGAGGATGGAATGGTGCCAGCAAAAGGTGAGCGGGTGAGCTGGGGGAGTGATGAGGTGCCTTGGTGAGGCAGAAGATTAGAGGAAAGGGGAGTGCTGCACACAGTTCTCAGCAACCCGCCCCCGTGAGAAATGGGATCCTTGTTACTGGTATAGATCCCTGTATGAAAAATATTAATGTAGGGCTTAAGACAAAACAATCAAGACACCAAGAAACAAACAAACAAATAAAAACACCCCTGTATCTGTTGTTAAGAGTTGGCTTAGAATGGTTGTTTCATTTTCCTTCCTCTTTATGTCTACATCTTTGCTTTACTCCTTCACTTTTGTGAAACAATTCCATCTGGATCTGCCAACGTTATTCCCAGTTTCTAGAACACGATCAGCTGAGATCAGACTCTTTCAAGGCATCTTACCATGGGTTAATTCTGGGGGGCTTAAAATATTTAGAAAATATATAATTGTAGGAAACCTAGATGATATAAATAAATAACATAATATAAAGATCCAATTACTGTGCCCTAACTAAAAAGATAGGGAGGGAGGAGAGAATAGGATGAAAAGGAAGGGATCTGGGATCTGTTAGTAACCTATCAGCCATCCCCATGTGTATTTGTGACCTAAGAACAACATTGTATTGCCCTATGTAGCATTACTCTGTATAAATGTCTCTAAACCAGGCCATTATCTGTCTCAACTGTCAAGAACTTTGTGATTTGGCTTTTGATGTACAAACTTTTTTTCCCTTCGCTGTCCCTTCCCATTTTTTTTTTAAAAAAATGTATTATGCCTCTTTGCAAATAGGTCTAAGGGCTTGACTGACTATCTACAATGATGAAGTGTTTTAGGAGCTCTTTGAATAATAGGTGGATACACAAGGTTTAGTATAACACTGCTTTTCAGATATTGCTGGAAAATATTCAGCATCTCTAAAAATGACCATGCTTATGTGGACTGATGGTTATTGATCAGGAGCAATGGTAAAGTCATATGATCTCTGCTTATTCCGTTAAGTTAACAAAGTAACATTTAGGATAGTAGTCATGACATCACTATCATATCTAATACCAAATAAGGTTGATAACTTTGTGGCTTTTTGGAAACACTCTTGCTTTTACCATTCCTCTCTTTGATTAAGATCAGAACAAAATTATTCTGCAAGTATGAGTTAAAAAAATAAGTTGCATATATTGCTGACTGACCACCCAAGATATCACTAAGAATGATGAGCATCTCCAGGTAGTTCTCCCAAAGAAAGGAAAAATTGCACTATAGGATATGATTATTATTTGCACACACAATACATATCACTAAAATCCTGCCTATTTTCTCCTTTGTTTCTGAGCATCATTCCATGACAAAGCAATGCTATTCTGGTAACTTCACCTTTTGCCACAAATTTGACTTCACGTGGTTTATCAGCAAGACGATCCCATCTTTTCAAATTAGAATACAGGTAGTCCTTGACCTACACCAATTCATTTAGCGACCATGGAGCTGAAAAGAGTGACTTATGGCCATATTTGAGACTTATGACTGTGGTAGCATCTCCACAATCACGTGATCAAAATTTGGATGCTTGGCAACTGGTTCATATTTATGACAGTTGCTATGTCCTGGGGTTACACGATCAACTTCTGCAAACCTCTGACAAGCAAAGTCAATGAGGAAGCCAGATTCACTTAACAACAGTCTTACTATCTTAACAAGTTCAGTGATTCTCTTAAAAACACAGCAAGAAAACTCATAAAATGGGGACAAAACTCATTTAACAACTGTCTCATGTAATAACAGAAATTTTGGGCTCAACTGTCCTAAGTCAAGAATTATCTCCGTACGATACTGCCTTACAGCAAAGTCAGACCAGTTTCTCCATTGATCTGCAATATTCCAGGATTTCAAACTGGAGGTTCTCCCAGTCCCACCTGGAGATGCCGGGAATGAACCCTGGATCTTTTGCATGAGTGCCTCTTGAGTTAAAAGGCCTTCCATTTATGTTGGAAAAACTGGCTAACATTCCATGGCAATGGAATCTATATGAGCTGTCTTATTTGGCATTTGGAGCGCTCTTTACTTTCATATTATTCATAAGCTGCTTTAAAAAAAACCAGTAATGTATGATGATGTAATATCATTCTTACATTATTTGAGTTGTAAACTTCACAAATGTTCTGGAAATTTCATGTTCATCTTTGAAATTGCATTTTCCATATCTGTTTGCTCTTTAATTAAAAAAGGCTTATCATTTCAATAATACTGGTTACTTAGCAGCTTGAAATCCACACATATATGTCTAATTTTGAGAAATGATACCTTAGGTCTGTTGCTTCTTTTTCAATGGTAAGAAGTAAGAAAATTTCTTTTCAGGCATGCGGAGCCATTTCTGAGGGCATGTGAGGCGTTGCCCTGTCAGCTCCAGCACGCATGCTGGCCAGCTGATTTTGGGCCTTGATTTTTGGCTGTGTTTTGCCCTCCGGAGGCTTCAGGAAAGCTTCTGATGCCTCCAGAGGAAGAAAAATGGCCTGCCGAGCTTCCATTTTGTGTGTTGGCCGTTTTTCGCCTTTTGGCACCCGAGGCGAAAAAGTCTCGTCATCACTGGCCTAAGTAGTTAAAATCCAAGAAGGCTGCCTAGGTTTTAAAACAATCTGAAATCAGTGTTGGACTAATGGGGAAAAAAAGTTGATGGTGCTCTGAGACAGAGGTTCTCCTGGTCAGACAAATAACAAATCAAGGAAATTCTGGACCTTCCATGCTTTTCTTCCACCATGGAATGCAATTTAGAGTTCTTCTACAACTCCTCAAGATGCTGTCAGGTTTCTGCAGATTTTGAGAAGCTGAACTATTAGTTCTTGGCAGGAGCATTTATGGCAGTAGAAGAAATAATGGAATGGTGTGTTGCGATGGTGTGACCCAAATCACAAGCTGCATATGCAAAAGGTTGAGCTTTGTATCTTGAGACACATACCATCGTTTTTTGGCTTATCCTAGGTACATATGGATATTGGCTTGATTCCTGCTTTTGGAAATGTGATCAAACCATTTTGTAGTCTCTTGTATGGAGCTGAGGGAGAGCAATTGCTCATTGGCAGGGACTCCTCCTTTATAGCTCCTGTAATTCCTCCCTTCCATTTGCAGCTAAAGTACTTTTTTTTGGTGGGGGGGTGGGTGTCTGCCAATATTTGTCACCTCCCTGCTTCTCAGTTGTACCAAAGGCAGTTTTCCCACCTCAAGGTGTTAAGATTTTTAAATACTCTTTTCCTCATCATAAAAATAAATGAGGAAGAGCCGAGGTGGCGCAGTGGTTAAATGCAGCACTGCAGGCTACTTCAGT